AAAAAAAAAAAAAAGAAAGTAGAGGTCAAGAAGGCCTACAGGAGTCAGAAGACCAAAAGGATAATGAAATTCAATAAAAGAGCAAACCAATCCCTGAGCACCTCTCTCTATGGACCTTGGAACATTTTATAACAAAGCAAGACAACAGTTGATGTTCATAACGATGCTCCTAAATCAACAAAAAAGGAACAATTTACATTGTTCTATTGAAAAGTAAGAGAATAGTAACTTAAATAAGGCAAAAAAAAAAGTTAAAATAAGTAAATTTTAGAAAACTAGAATTTTACATTTTTAGGTAAGTAGAATATTTTAATCTTAAAGTAGGCTCTGTATGAAACTGTCCTCTGAATACCAGTTACCTGAGGAATAGATAATTCAACTTTTAGCACTGTGATAAGAACATACCATAAACTCTTAGGGCAGAAGGAGCAGAAAACCAATTTGTTTCTTGACTCTCCTTGGACAGTTCTTCATCCCTTAGCTAAAAGAAACACAGAGACATACTTAGAAGATAGTAATTGTCAAGTGATGTAATTATGTATTTTAAAAACATTTACCTCCAATAAATCATCTAGGAAGCTGCATGCTAAAATATCTTGAATTTTTATCTTCCCTTTAAAGAACATAAAGAAACACAATTAGTTAATTTCAAGAACAAGACCGGTTTGATTTTTTTTTTTTTTTTTTTTTGAGACAGAGTCTATGTTGCCCTGCTCATAGCAACCTCAAACTCTTGGGCTCCAGTGATTCTTCTGCCTCAGCCTCCCTAACAGCTGGGACTACAGGTGCCCACCACAATGCCCAGCTACTTATGTTTGTTTCTTTGTTTAGCAGGCTTAAGCCAGGTTTGAACCACCAGCCTCGGTGCATGTAGCTGGCGCCCTAACAGCTGAGCTACGGGCGCTGAGCCATCCAGCTCAGTTTTTAAAAAGAGCAATCACAGTTGATATTTTAAAGCTTCTAGCTCTTACCCTACATTTAATAAGTCTGTACCTGTGTATCTACCTGCATACCCCCAAATCTATAAATCTATGCAGTAAATTCTTTCTAAAATTATATTGATAATTTCTAGAAAATTATCAGATTTCTAAAAAAGTTATATTGAATATTTTATGATTAATAGATATGGTATTGCTGGTAATCAAATAAGGAGATTGTCTCTAATTTTCTTTGGTTCTGGAACAGGAAGCAATATAGAGGCATGGTTAAGAGCAGACGGGAGAGAGAATGTCACTTCTACATATATAATCTAGCAAGGTCTCAGTTGCCTCTCACATAAAATGTGGACAATGATAATACCTTTATGGGGTTGTAGGAAGAAAATGAAAAGAATCCAAGTAAAATGCTTGGTACAGTACATCATAAATAGTCAAAATAGCTATTTTATAAAATTTCAAAATGAAAAGCTGTATATGTATGTGCCTATGATAAAGGAGTTTTTAAAAGATTGTCACCTACTATGTGCTATGATTGGACTCTGGATTTTCAAGTACAGAAGAATTAAGGACTTTGATTTAGGCCTTTCTCTATCCTTTCCTCTGCCCTAGTTACATGTTTTTAAGTCTAGGCAGGTTAATAATGTTAATAAAACATACTATTAATGAAGCCATACTTACTAATCTGATCCCCAGATGGGATATAGTTAAGAAAGAGAAAAATACATCATGGCTGATTTGCTCCTATATCCCCAAATGCTTATTTTTCTTTTCTTTTTTTTTTTTTTTTTTTAAGACAGAGCCTCAAGCTATCCCCTTGGGTAGAGTGCTTTGGCATCACAGCTCACAGCAACTTCTAACTCCTGGGCTTAGGCAATTCTCTTGCCTCAGCCTCCTGAGTAGCTGGGACTACAGATGCCCACCACAATACCCGGCTATTTTTTTTGTTGTTGCAGTTTGGCTGGGGCTGGGTTCGAACCTGCCACCCACGGTATATGGGGCCAGTCCCCTACCCACTGAGCCACAGGCGCCACCCAACTGCTGCTGTTTTTTTGGTACTTTTCTACCCCCTTGAGATTTGCCAGATTATTAATGGTGATGGCATGTTAGGAAAGTAAACACCATTTTTCAAGACTTTTCTCTAGTTATTAATATTTAGATGCAATATTATCTATGTTAGATAAGTTTTTTTTTTTTTTACCTGTTCTTAGAGGGTCTAAAAAGAAGAAGAACTTTCTAACTGCCGTACACACATAAAAGGAGTAAAAGGATTTTTCCAGCCCATCTAATTGTGGCAAAGTAGGGATAAGTTCCAATATGTAGTTTTCTAAATCCTGAAAATAAAACAAAACATTACAGTGTGAAAACTTCCAATCTTGAGTCTTCATTAGATACTAGAATATAAATTTCAGTCCTAAAAATTATTTAGCATTAATATATTATGATGAAATAAATTCATGACTATGTTAGTGGTGAAACAATATTAAATTTTGCTTCTACTAATTTAGTTTTAAAGCTTTAATGTATTCTTTTTAAAAAGTAATACAGTCTACAAAATTCTAAATGCAAGGCTCAGCGCCTGTGGCTCAAGCGGCTAAGGCGCCAGCCACATACACCTAAGGTGGCGGGTTCAAATCCCCAGCCTGGGCCTGCCAAACAACAATGATGGCTGCAACCAAAAAATGGCCAGGC